GTGATGCAGTGCTGTGGTGCCCAGTGCTGCGCTCCCAGCCCGTCTGCGGGGCTCAGGAGGTGGCGATCCCTTGCCTGTCCCCTCCTGCTGACATTGTCACCTGTCCTCGCTCCCCGCAGAGCCACAGCAGCTATCTGGAGGTGGGGCAGTGTGGCAGCAGCCAGGACGCCAGCCGGGAGGGAGTGTCGCTGTCATCGCACAGCTCTCGGCGCTCCTCGCACACCGCGCTCTCCGACTCCACGTGTAGGTGACAGGGCAGGGGTGGCTCGGGGCAGGGCAGCCCCCAGAGCCTGGGGTCCGCCTGGAAGTGACCAGTTGGGGTGGGAGAGCAGTGCTGAGCGCTGGGATCAGCATATCGGGCCATGGCAAGTCAAGTCACAGAGCAGCAATAGAGCCAGGGTCACCTGCTGCTTTCTCCCTCTCAACCCCCACCGATTTCCCCTGGACTGTCACCGCTCAGGGTCACGGCTGTTTCCTCAGGGCACAGGAGGTGACTCGCTGACTTGATTGAGCCACAAACATCACTGACAAAAGTTTTGTGTTGGGATAACGTAATTTTATTATGGGGTCTCTGATGTGAAATTCCTGCAGAAGGAGCACAGAAGGAGGATGTCTGCCTTGCTGGCAGCTTCATCCCAGCTCCCATGAGTGCCCTCCTTGCCCTGCAGGCAGCAGCGAGGTGACCGCAGTGCCTCTGTGGGGTGGGAGTAGGGAACATCTCGGGACTTTTCTTGAGATATTTGCCATGGGGAGAGCGGGGATCTCACCTGGAGACACCCACGGAGGGCAGGCTGAACGGGGGTGAGGGAGCCAGAGGGACACAGAGGGGCAGTTTGGGGACCCCTTGGGCAGTGTGTGGGTCGCTGCCATCTGCACACACAGAGTTCAGGTCTGGCCGGGGTGGGCAGCCCGGCTCTGCTGTTCCACGGTGAATTCTCTGTTGCAGCCACATCGTCCCTGCGGCGCACAGACACCAGCACTCCCACCCGGCCGGCAGGACCCGCTCCGGCTGACAAGACAGCGCTGCGGATGGCAGCAGGGAGCACCCAGGTCAGTGGTACTGAGGAGCTGAGCCTTGCTGGGGCTGCAGTGAAACGAGCTCAGCCAGCACTGATGTCACCCTTAGAGATGCTGGATCACACGCTCTGAGTGTGCTGGGGTTTCCTGGGGAGTGCCACTGCCTGGCAGAGCCCCTGGGGAGGTGCTCGAGGCTCCTCTGCTGCCTCCTTGCAGGATTCAGTTTGCTCCTCCAAGACAAATGCCTTTTCACACCAACAACCTTCTTTTCTTGGGGTTTGTGCACATGAAACGGCCTTTATCCAAAATGGATACTGACACCAATTAGCACGGGCATGCAGGAGCCTAAATTCTCCCTTCAGGCTTATATCTCCAATCTCAGCTGTCCAATTCCCTGCCCTTGTTCATCCCTGGTATGAGCTGTTACAGCACCAGCTCTGCACTAGAGGTGCTATGGACCTACAGTAAGGCAGAGTTTTCATTTCTAGGCCATAGCCACTCCTCAAGCCCCTGGTGAACACCTCCCTCAGCACCCCGTGGCTCAGCTGGCAGTGCCCTCCCAGCACCCTGTGATGGTATGTGGTTTATTTTCGTTAAGTGGATTCTGTCAGCAGGGCAGCCTCGGTGGCTCTGGTTCACTGCCCTCATTTCCTTGCTGGCACATCCCAGAGTGGGGACAAGGTTTCTTTCTGTTGCTGTTTCTGAGATTTACCTGCAACCAARTTATTGCAACCACTTATTTCAGCGAGCAGAGAGAGCAGGTGGGACAGTCAAAGAAATAGCACAGGAGAAGGCTGACTCTTGTCAAAAGCATTTGGGGCTGCTGAAAGCTTCTCCCTGAATCTCTTGCAGCTGCCTACAGGCTGATAAAGAGTTTTAGCAGAGGAAGGGGATGTCATGGAAGGTTTGAGTGAAGCCAGGAAAAGGAAGAAAACCAAAAACCACAAGAAAAATGTGGTATTCATAAACCATAATGACAAGGTTTGTCCTTAGGCAGCTTTGATGCCAGTGCAGTAAATGTTCAGACTATAAAACAGAGATTGAAGATGGCCAGTGCAGGTGTGAAGGATGGATCCCCAGGTGGGATTGCAGCCTTACCTGGGCCTGGCATCTGGCAAATATCGTTAGCAGCACAACTGAAATCCAGGCCAGGAGGTGTGACAAGGGTTTGGGTGTGGTGTCTGCCAAAACATAAGTGAACCCAAACCCAGCAGCATTTTATCCTGAGGGGCCAGGGGAGTCCCATGTACAAACACTGCAGAAATGTAATACACCAACATCTGGAGGCAGAGCCCTAAATGTGAGCCAGATGTGCTGCTGCTCTGGAAATAACAGTGCCACTTTGGTTAAATACGCAGTTGCCATTTTTTGTCAGCATCTTATTTTTTATGGGAAAAGCTGAAAAGCAGTAATTGTCCTGAATCCAGCATCACCATGAATGTGAGCAACAGGATGGTCCTACCCTGTGATCCTTTTCCTCTGTTCTCTGCAGCCAGTGTACCATTTCCCCAGCCAGCTGGGGATGATGCACCAGCTGAAGGAGCAGCTGGAGGAGAGGACTCGCATMCTGCAAGCTGACATCAAGACACAGCAAGAGGAGCTCCACGTCATCAAGGAGCAGCTCCAGCTCGTGCAGGACTCCAACCTGCAGGTACCTGCTGCCCCCAGGGCTCCCAAAATCACCAGCCTTTGACATTTCCTGTGAGCACACAGAGCAGTAACAAACTTGTCTGTGGAAAAGCATTTGGAAACGAACTCTGGCCAAATTGGTCGCTTGGTTTCAGATGTGGGAGTGGTGTTTCCCGAGAGATGTGTGATGTCAATGTCTGGCTGAGTATTGAATCGGTAATTTGTGTGATTTAGAAAAAAAGCAATCCCAAGTTGATTCAAAGTCTCCTGCGCACAAAAGGCTTGGTGGTTCCGTGTCTGGTTAGTGCTGCTGGGTCCCCACTGCCACTCCTGCAAAACRCAGAGGGCACAATGGAGCTGGAACMGTCACGGCTCTGAATARATATTTGACACAAGCTAACATTTGATTTTCTGTTACTCATGGTTCGCTTTGCACCTGGATTTAGAGATCCTGCTGCTGCAGCAGCGTTACTTCTGCCAGGCAGCCCAACCAACCCTCATGTGGCTCTTTCCCTTGCAGATGCTGATGCAGCAGCCCATTCCTGTGGTCTTTAACAACGTGCAGCAGCYGAGCCCCCGGCGGCCACCACCCCAGGGGACAGCCAGGCAGACCCCGGCCAAGAAGCCCCAGCAGCCAGGCCTCATGGGGACGAAGCACTACTGCAGCTCCCACCTGCTGTCACCGCGCCCGTTCCTCAGGGACCCCTGTGGCACAGCCCCCCAGGTCACTGCCCTGGCTTCATCACCCTTTCCTGGCTTCTCAATCCTTGTCACTCCTCCCCGGGTCCCGTGCATCCCCTCTGGGTTGGTTTTACTGCCTAGCTGGAATTGTGGAATTCATGTCAAGAGTCAGTCACTCAACTGTAAAAATAAAAGCCAGGTACTGAAAAAAGCATTTTAACCCCAGGGACTTCTGGAGCCCTCCTGGTGATCAGGGAGAAAGGGAGTGGGAGAGCTGGGCTCTCATCAACACAATGCGCATTCACAGCTGGTGAGAGTTGGGGTTTTCTAACGCAGAATGGGCATCATTTTGAACAATTAATTTTACTCTGAGGAGTCTTGCCTGAGGCAGCTTTAAAAAACAATTTTGTCATCACTAGACCTAAATCCACTATTGAGATGGGAAAGACTTGAGTTGTTCAAAAGCAAAAAAGGCCAAAACTGCTACAGTAAAGGACAGATGAGATGCTTTCCTTGGATACTTCAGATTTGCATTTCCTCTTTTGAGCTGTTTTCCTCCTCCTCACGCCTTTCGTGCCCTTACCCTTGTACTCTTAATTTSTCAAGAGACCGTCTGCCTGTGCCACTGGGGATGCCAACACCTGCCCTGCAGGGACAGTAAATGCCAATGGGTCGGTGGTCCTGCACAGAKATACTATTCCTACTGCTGTGTTCAGGGGCAATATCCCATTTTTCCTTCCCCTTTTCCCATCTGCCCATTGTAAGTGGTTATTTTCTCCCTCCATTAGGGAGCTTTGAAGGTTTCATGGGTATCTGTGTCTTCATTTCAGGTGCAGCAGCAGCAGCAGCAGCAGCAGCAGCAGCACCTAATGAGAGGAAGCCAAGGCCAGCAAACGTGTGTGCAGGGGCAGGCGAGCGTTCCCGTGCCCCTGTACAACAGCCCCATGGTGTTCCCCCAAACTCACCCCATCGCCGTGGCTGCACAGGGAGCGGCTGAGAGTGCAGAGAGGCAGCCCCCGGCCGACTACAGCCAGGACAGGAGCCTCAGGTGTCTGCTCAGTGACAGAGAGCAGTGCTGGGGCTGCAGGGAGGGCACGGGGTGGGTTCAGGTGCCACAGCAGGTGTAGGATGCTCCCTCTGCAGGGGTGAGCCCAGTGTGTGGGCAGATGGGCAGGGTGCTGTGCCCATCGTGCTCTATCATCATGGGCCTTAAATCCCTTTCTCTCCATATTTCCAYRGWTTAATCTAACCCTGCCCTCTGTCAGTTTAAAGCCATTCCCTCYTGTCCTGTCRCTCCATGCCCTTGTCAAAAGTCCATCTCCTGCTCTCCTGTAGCCCCTTTAGTCCTGGAAGGTACTGTGAGGTGTCCCTGGAATCTTCTGCAGTCTGAACAATCCCAGCCCTCTCAGCCTGTATTCACATGAGAGATGTGAGATGATTAGAAACATCCTATTTCATCACCTTGTTTTCAAGGTAGCAGTTTACCTGCTTTCATGGAGGATTTTCAAGGAGTTGTTTCCAGAAACTGACAGGAGCTTGGACCTCTCCCTTCCCTGACCATTTTCTGTTTTCCTTCCACCACAGGATGCTGTTGGACCAGTCCATCCAAGCCATGATGCCTGCAGCCAACAGCAGTGGCCAGCCCGTGCAGAGCAGTGCCAGCAGGCAGCAAGGAAAGTGAGTCTCTGCTGGCCTTTGTTTTCCTKCAGGCTTCTGGTGGGGCACTTCATGGCACTGAAAACATCTTAGAAAAACTTGCATCTGCTAACGCAAACACAGTCTCAGTCTGAAATGAAACAAAAGTTCAGCTAGTTAGGAGAAAAAATAATGAGAATATTTTTTAATTACAAAGCACTTTATGATTAAAAAAAAAAAGTGTTTTAAAAAAATTAACCCTCTTTTTGCTTTTGCAAAGCATAAAATTCTTGACCAAGACAGAGGGGAGATTTACAGCCTTAAAAACCTGACTTTTCTGCAGTTGCAGTCCGTGCTTTGTGGGGAATGGGGGAATCTGGAGCTTGCTGCCAGCAGGGTGTGCATGGTTTGACCAGCCCTGCTCCAGGCTGGTTCCTGCAGCACTGGGCTCCCAGTGCCCATTCTGGGGGTGGCTCTGGTGTGGTTCTCATGCTTGCCTTTCCTCCCGTGGCAGGTTCCTCRCAGAGCAGCAGAGCCTGCCTCCCCCAGCACAGGCACAGCCTGTCACCTGCAGCAGTGTCCGGCCCCCGGCCCCAGCGCCCATCTTCTCCCCATCTCTGATGATCCCACACAGCAGCTTCACACCCCACCAGGCCAATGCACCAGTGCACCTCCACCAGTGGCCACAGCAGCAGGTCCAGCAGCACCGCCTCTACCTTCAGGTACTGGAGCAGGTTTCTGAGGGGGCACGGGCATGGCTTAGGAGTTGGTTGGGGCTGTTTGAAGGAATGGGGCTCATCTGGCTGGTCAAACGTGGTCAGTGCATTTGCACATCCTCCATTCCCCTCATGCCTGCATGCAGACAAGTGGTCAGCCTTTCCAGGCTGACTCTGCACCCGCTCAAAGCCGTATTTCCCACTAGACTCAGTTATCACATAGAGTACAGAAGAAATGCCCAGTTTTTCAAAGACAGCTTTTCATCCAGAGGAGCTCTGGTGGGAGACTTGCTGTAGTCACAAACACAATAAAAGATAAGCTCTTTAAAATACATACCTCCTGCTGTCACATCTCAGCAGAGCAAGGTTTTTATCAGCTGTCATCACAGCTTTCTTTTAATAAATAGATATATCACAACACGCACCTCTGGACAAGGTGCTTTTGGTTTTTCAATACACAATTTACATCAGTACATGCTGAACTAGTGACACCGCCAAGGGGAGGGTTGTTGAAAATAATAATGCATTAGTAACACACTCTCCAAGCCTTGCCTGGTTGGCAGAGGTCAGTTACAGTCCTCCAGGCAAAGATGGTAGAAAAGAAAGCAGGAGGAGTCAGTACAGCTGAAAGCAGCCACGCAGCAGGACTGGATTTAGAGTGAGAAATGAATCATTGTCAGCAAACGTGGGCATGAACTGTCCGTGCTTTGTGTCCTCCTGGGCTGCACTGAGGTGCTGAGGCCCAGCAGTGTGAACAGCAGAATGATGATGCTGGCACAGATAAATAGCTCCAGGGCCACAGAAAGCAAGGGTCTGGTGCCACAGTGCCTTTAACAGGGGGTGAACAGCGAGTCAGCTCTTTGGGGTACCAGCCCTGGTGGGGGCAGGTACATGATCTCTCTGGGACCTCTTCCTTGGCTGTCTGAAGGTCTTTCCCGTGGAAGATGAAAGTTGCATATCCTGCAGATTTTACCTCGCATCCAGGTAGCTTTTGAAGATTTCCATTCCTGCTGGGCTCCCCGTGATCCTGGTGGGATCTGGTGGGCTGTGCTTCCCCTCTGTGCTCTCCAGGCACTGCTGGTTGTGCTGGCAGCGCCAGCATCCCTAGGGGCACAGCTCACACCCTCAGCTGTAGGACTTGGTGTGCACCCTGGGCATGASCCTCAGCAGCAGCCCTGCAGCAGGACAGGGACAGCTGTGTGTGACAGGTCTGACTGCTGGGTTTGTGTCTCCCGACAGATGCAAGGTCCCGAGCTGGTGCCGGGGGCTCCGACGCAGCGCATTTTCCAGCCGCCCCACACCCCGCAGCAGAACCCCCTGAGCTACTTCCTCCACCCGCAGCAGCAGGGCCACCACACGCAGGGCCAGCCCTGCAACCTGCCCGACCTGCCCGAGATGCAGCTGCCCTGAGAGTCGGCTCTGGGACACAGGGAGCACAGGGCTGCAGCCGCCGCGCCGGGCGCACGCAGGGGAGCGCGATGCCGTGGGAGCGCGGCGCAGGAGAGGTCGGCTCCGTGGGGAGAGGGGGCTGGCAGGATGATCCCTGACAGGGATGCGTGGCTGCAAGGGCCTCGTTGGGTGGGATTTCCGTGCAGCCAGTCCGTGCTGCTGCCCCGGCAGCAGGGTGTGCCCTGAGCCGGCACCGCGGGGCCACTGGAAGTGGTGTTTTCTGGCTGCAGGGAGGCGAGAGATCAGGTTCGCCATGAAGCTGTTTGCAATGGAAAAAACCCTTTTCCATTCAGGACTTCAATGCTGAAAGTCACTGTGAATTTAAGCCCAGCATTTGGAGCACATAGACTGTACCAGTCCACAGGATACCATTGGATTACCGTGTACATAACTCATTTTGCTGTAGTAGGTCCATTGTGGATTCTTTTTCCTTTTTCTATACCTCAGTCCCGCAGTTTTTTGTTTTCCAGGAGATTGGATAATGCTGCTAATTTACATAACACCACTTTTGCCTGAATTTCTTACTGTTGTTATACCAGCTCACATCGCAGCTAGTACAATATTTGTCATGTTTTATTTTTGGTTAAGAAGTGAAGATAAATTTGTATGGTTTTTACTCCCTGTAGCCAAATATTTTTCAGGTTACAGACAAAGAATCTTTACTCCTTTTCTTTTTGTTTCAAGTGATGTAGTTGTATATGTTTCTATACATAAAAACAAACATGCATAGAACAACATATGACAGCAAACTTTGTGGTTTTGCTAGGTCATGTTTCAATTTGGCGAACCCAAAACATATAATCATGGCACACGCGATGTTACAAGCCCGTAGGGTCAGCAATAAATTGTATTTTTGTAAATTGTCACTTTTTAACTATAAGTTTATATTTATGAATTGAAAAACCAGTTTATTCCTCAGTGGGTGTATAGTTAARTGTCCCTACTGTTTGTGTCTTTCCAAGGGAAAAACTAAAAAGTACATTTTKGAAGTGTTAGTAGCTGAGTACTAACTTTGGGCACTGTTAGAGCCCAAATGCACGAGGTGGGTTTGGCCATTATTATAAATTGGCAGAGGTTAGTTAGGACCAGGTCCATCTAGCAGTAAAGCTCCAGCTGGTAGTCAGAGCAAAGTTTAGAGAGGAGTTAGCTCCTAATGTCTGTTGAAACCAAGCAAAGAACGCTTGGTTTTGCCTTTTTTTTTCCTTTTTTTCAATTTATTTCCTTCTTTTCCTTCTGCAAGCCACTTTCATGTCCCTTYGCAGCGCTGCAGCAGCTGGTGTTAYTGGTGTTACTGGTGTTASTGGAGGAGCAGCCTTTSGCACMAGCAGCCCCAAGCAGCCCTGTGTTTCAGGAAAAGGGCATGGCAGGTTTCCTCCAGCCCTGGCAGAGCAGGGGCTGTTTCCCAGCAGTTCTTGCTGGGGACGGGGCTCTGCTGTGCCACRTTGCCTGGGGCAGTGATGGTGGGARCTCAGGCTGCTGGAGCTGGGGGCAGCCAGGAGCTTTCAGGGGCTGCTGTAAGGCCCTAGGGTGCTTTGGTGTTTTGGCCAGGGCAGAGGGGAGCTTGTGAACAAAAGCTGTGCCAGCCCCTGGCTTTCCATGGGTCCCCTCCCGTGGCAGAAGGATGGCTTTGACTGGGGCATTGAGTGCACAGCTCCCAGGGTTCCAGCCACGATGGGTCATGGCTTGCAGAGCTGGCCACTTGCAGCATTTTGGGGATTGTAGTGGGCCATAGAATGGAGGCAGTGAGTGCCTGGGTACAATGTTGGGTTTGTGCCTTGTCAGCAYAGCCCCAGCTRGGCCCAGCCCWGKGCAGCCCTGGGCAGCYGAGCAGCTGCTCCTGGACACAGCCTGAACCAGCCCCCCCTTTCAAACCTGGGCAAGGAATGGTGGCCACAGCAGAGCCATGGGCCACCTCACTGCTGGTAGTGGGATGGGGAACACCTGCCTTTGTGGGTCAGTCTGAGCTAAAACAGTAACACCTGGGGCTTTCCTGCTCTGCAGACRTGTGCTCCACCAAGGGCCAGCCAGCACAGAGCTTTCAGGGTAGGAAAGTTTTGGGTTTTTTAAAGCACTATTAATTTTAGGGTTTTCCTCTCCTCATTCTAATACAGCAGGGTTGCTCATGAGGGTGTGGTAGGAGRAGGTTGTACTTTTGGGGGTGGTTTTGAGATTTTTTTCACCATAGCCTTGGCACATAACGTTAGAGGGGAGGCAAACACATGTATTTGTGTTGGGGCTCCAGCACTGTGTGCAGTTTGTGGTGCAGGGTGGATGGCTCGAGGGAAAAGCCGTGCATTTCCCTGGCTTCCCCACTGAACCTGCATCACCCCAACACATCCCCATGGCTGGGSTGCAGTGTCCCATACTGCACATGAGCCCAGCCGTGGCAGGTGGCGATCAAATGGAGCTCAGAGGTGCTGGTGATTGGGGTCAGGGGCTTGGGAGATGTATTTTTTTACAGGGCTTGGTAGACAGGTAGCTCAGGCAGAGCAGTTTTCTTGCATTGCTGTGGCTTTGACAKTGAGTCCAAAAAATAATAGGGTTGGGAAGGGGTTCCAGGGGAGATGGGGCGGTGGGTGCGCTGGATGGGGCCATGCCCTGGGTACAGCCCTGCTGATGGCAGCACTGGCTGCAGGACAGGGCTGGGGGCACAGACCCTGCTCACGGCTCCAGCGATGAGCACAGGAGCTTGGAGAGGATGTTTACATGTTAAATCAGCCTTGCTAAAACCAGAGACCTRAAAACGCACTTTATCCTGTGTCCCCCGTTATTGTCAGAGCCCCCTCCCTGCTGGCCCTGCTGCTGGYRGGTGGGGGCTGCACAGTCCCAGGCACTGCCTCTCAGGTAGGGCCTTGTTGTCCATACATACCCCAAAGGACAAAATCCCACTGGCCCTTTCTGGGGCTTGCTTGGTCTTTGCTCAGTCTGCCTCCAGCCACAGGGGAGGCTGAGTCAGGGCCAGGGGGGTTTTGCCTTATATTGTCACTCACTCTCAAAAAAAACAGATGGATAAATAAATCTCTTTATTCAGGTTGATTTGTATTTGTTTACCTCGGTGTTAGCTATGACCTGTGTTTTTACTCATTTGGAATTAGGATTGCTGGTGGGTTTGGTTCACACCCCCAGCTGCCCTACAAGAAAAGACAAGTGTGACTTGTTGGTGACGAGCAGAGGGCAGGGACGTGACCAATGGCAGCAGGGTCGGCGTCCAGTGTTGCTGTTGACCTATCATTCATAAATGTTCTGAGGTTTTCTACTACACAAGTACCTATATACTATAACCCTATATATAGATATACGTATTTTTAATATACATTTATATGTATGCTGATGTATATCTATATATAAATATATATAGGCCACACAATTCCAGACCTCTGAAAACACAGGCAGCTTTAATTAATAAAGTCTTGCACTTTTAGCGTATTTGTACATATAAGCTAAAGCCTGGTGGGTATAATCAGGCTGATTTGACAAACACAATGAAAAGTTACTGTATATATTGTATATAGACCATGAAAAAAAAAAAAGAAAATAAGAAAAAGTCTAGAATTGAGTATAAATCTTGGTTTATTTTATATGATGTTGAATATGAATACATTTATAAATGTTACTATTCTTAAAAGTATTTTGTAATGGGAAAAAGTAAGTGTCTTATGAAGATGAACAGTAAAGATTTTATTCTTGTTTTGAATCTATGTCCCTGCACAGCTCCATTGAATGGGAGCCCATGCATTTTGACAAGCTTTAAACAGATTGTACATAGTATTTAAAAAAAAAATAAGAAGAAATAAAATAATACTTGTAAGACCTSTTACACACTATGTGCTGTTGTTATTACCTGCGTGGTGTGGGTCTGTTGGGGATCAGGATCTGACCCCACTCTCCAGGATAYTCCTGTGCCTGCACAGCTGAAGGGATGGGGCTCAAGACCAGGACTGGGATCTCCATGGCCAGTGCCAGGAACAATAGGGACAATGCATAAATTAGAGAGAACAATGCCTCAGGGTCTGTACACTCTAAGTGTTTGAATTTGGATGCAAACCATGTGACTACTCCTGGGCTCTGTCACTCACCAGCTCAKCACTGAAGCCAGCTCAGGTTGTACTCCAGCCTAAACTAGTCCCAGGCTTCAAAATCCAGGTCTCCATTTTTCCTTTGCTGCTGGGAGGTTGCTGTCCCAGCAGAGGCTTTGGCCTGCTCCTTATTTTGGAAAGCACTGACTAAATGTGGTTCTTGAAGGAACTTCTGCAATAGGCCATCACAACAAATAATAGTGCCTCAAACACAGGATTTTTTTTTAAAGTGAAACAATATTTTATTTAATATCCCATTTGTCTTACAGGACCTCTGCATACAATACATTGTATAAAAGCCAATCTGTCAACACAAACATGTGCTGCTGTCTTGGTAAAGAGATAAAGCTATAGCAAAAAAGACAGAATAGCCTATTTTTCTGGAAACAAATCAGCATTAAAACCTTCTGGTTTAGTCCAGATAACAACAGCAATCACAATCAACAACCTTATATGGTACAACTGGATGAGAAATTTCTGATAAAATCAACACACAGCTATTTCTTAGTCACTATGGTACCAAACTCTTCTAAAATTACATTATTGTCCAGCCGTTAGAGTGATGAACAAGTGGCTTGTTTTAGGAATGGATAGAAAGTGATATTTCTGTGTCACATGGCAGSAGCCACTTCCATGTCCTGTGAAATGCACCAGTTGAATTACCATCAGTTCTCCCCCAGGGTGGAAAGAGCTGGTATTTTGATTATTTGAGCTATTCCCTCTCCTCAGGTCACCAAGCCCTGAGCTGGGCACACAGAGGCCAAGCAGCCAGTTCCTTGAGGGGGTCAGGGCTGTCACTGGTCACCCAGAGCACAGGGAGCAGCACAAGGCTCCAGAGCAGCACATTCCATRTGGCAAGACTGAGGGATCACCACAGCTCTGCTGGCTCTGCTCCCAGGCCATGGTAACATCTGACAAAAGGCATCTTAGGGCACAGCAACAAGGGCCCAGCCACAAGGAAGGACTGTGCAGTGTCCCCAACAGCCACTGTCCAGGGTGCAGGGTAACCATGACACAGCAGGCACTGCAGTTGTCAAACTACAAACAGCAGCAGTAGTTGTAACAATCTACCTGCAACGGGTTATTTTGTACTGAATGATGCACCTTCACTTATTTCCTATGACTGAAAAAATAAAGGCAAAATACTTGATGGAAACTTAAGGAAAGAAAGTAACATAGATCAGTGAAGTGACACAACAGAACCAACTTAACCAGGCGGCTTCCTGTTCATGTGCGCAGCCAGTGTGATGTGATGGGAGTCTGGGGCCATCTGTGTGTCACCAATGTCACCTTGCCAAAAAGCTGCATGGCACAGAGATCTCTGTCCCTTAGTGTACAGGGAAGTCAAGGCATCACTCTTCAAGAATGAAGAGAGGGAAGGAGCTGCTGTTGCTCTAGCTCTGCCAATCCCAGCTAAACCTGCATCTGTTTGTTAGCCATGTTCCTTGSGAATAGCTGGCACTTGCTCCATCTACAACTCCCCAGAGGACCAGCCCACGATCCAGAGGCTGCAGAAGGAAGAACCTGCCAGCTGGGCCATGGCCTGAGTGCTGCCAGCCTGTTGGAAGTGAGCTTGCCCCACCCTCCATCCTGCTGACACTGGATGCCTGATCACTGTGCCTTCCTGGATCAACCTGCAGGTATATTACAGGAGCAATTTAAAGATAATACCCTTTTTGAGAAAAAAAAAATATAAACAAAAAATCCAAGCAGGTAAAAAAGTTACCCTAACTTCTTACCTTAAATCTATTTTGATACATATATATGCTGGTAATGTCTATACATGGATATGACATTTGACAAGAGCTACTACCCAACTGGTAAAGGTTCCGCAGTCTCGGGGGAGGCACTAATAGAAAAGGGTATTGTACAAACTGAGCACCTTTTTACAACTAGGTAACAACAGAAGGTTGTACTTTCYAAGATCCCTCACCACACTCTTTCGCCCTTAGATCTTCACATCTTGGCTCATCAAAAAAAGTCCTTGATTTYTCTGTCCTTTCGTATCTCTGTTACCTTGATTAGCAAACAGTTCACGGCTTTGACTACTTATTAACATAAACAATTTCTGTCATAAACCTACAAACGCTTTTGGGATGGGCAGCTGTATCTATTTGCATGAGGCTCCATTAATTTCATCATGGCTCTTTGCAGGAGCATTACTCACTGACCAAACCTTATCTGAGTACATCCTGGACTAGAACAACCATATCATCTGCTTTGTATTTCTAAACAGCTTTGTGAAAACAATGAGTAAATACATTTTAAAATAAGTAATRCAGTGTGGCCCTATCTATATCCATATAAATGGATAAATTAGTTTTTATATTTTATACATAAAAATACAAATCAGCACTATATTTTATCAAGCATAATTACTTTGTGAAGGCTTTCTGAAAAAAGCTTCCTCCTTCTCCACATATATAACTTTTTTTTTATCATTTAGCTTCTTCAATAAAACTTAATTTTACATTAATACCTGAGAGTATTGGGGAGAGTATAAGACATAATTCATAAATTTAACACCACCTGCAATGATGGCATTTCACAAAGTGCCTGTAACACAAGTCAGAAATTTGTTTTATTCTTCATTCACACTAGTATTGCAAGAAAAGCCTCAGAATGACACCATCCCCATTCTGCTTCTTTACAAAAACATGCACAGTATAAAAATAATGCTGTTCTGCAGAGAAAGATTGTCATACAGGCTTTGGAAACAGACATTTTTAACTAGTTCAGCAGAAACTCCCTACTTTCTTTGCTGCTGTTGTTAGAAGACAAAACTCTTACCCTCCTCTAAATGCCTTCTAGCACAAGCTACCAAAGATTCAAGGTCAATGTGTCTCTGCATTTACACTAGTAGAGCTTTCCTCCACAGCATCTCTACTATATCATATTTTATATATTAMAAATTTTAAATCAGATTCAAGGGGATTTTCTTGTTGCCTTGAATCCTGACAGATGGAAAAYATTACAGCAGCAATAATCCAGAGTGCTATAGAAAAGCAATAGTAATTACTGGGTTGAGATATGGACTCAGGGTAGGCAAAGAAGTAACTGCAATCTGTCCCTAAGCAGCCCAATAGACAACATTCAGTTACAGATGGCCTGTGCTCGGGCTTTCCAAACACCAGCAAAACTCTGTATTTCATCAACATGCTCCTAGGAACACAACAATGGCTCCTCTTGCCAGATAAAGAACAACCACCATGTGGCCAGATAGATTTAGCCACTGCTTTCCCTTGATTTCAAATAATTAGTATTAGTTTTTTTTACCCTTGTGCAGCCTGGATGACCAAATAAGCTTCCATCCTTTTCACCTTTTTTTTTGTAGGAGGATTGGTATGAAAATGGGAAAGAGACCTCTAGGCTGAGCTAGAAAAGCAGGAAACCAGATTTTTGTTGCAGAAACTGAGACATGGGCTTGGAGAATGCAGTCTGCAAACTGCTGATGAAGGAATGAAATCTGAAAGAGTCCAGAACCATGAATAACACCAAAGCAGAGGAATTGAGAGCAGGGCAACTTCCTTCTCTAGTCTCCCACCACAGCCTCTGTTCTTACTCTTCACCCTGCTTTGACCCCAGTCCACATGCAAGTTTGGAAATAACTAATTCATGTGGAAGACAGCCTCCAAGTTGTTGATATTCCTTTAAAGTTAAAATGGGAAGAAGTCATTCCTTCTACCACAGTAATAGATATGAACCTGGAGAACACCCACTCCAACAGCAGTCATTCAGACAGGTTTGCACAGGTACATACCCATTTATCTCCAAGCAATGATGCATGTTTCAAAAACATGGTAAAGACAGTTTATTATCCAGTCCCCTTTACTGGAGTGAAATTTTATGAACAATGCAAGAAAGTGATTGTGCTTCAAACTATTTTTATTTACATGACATACCAGTAATCTGATACTTAAAGCTAATTCTTCAAATTCCATTCCCTATGTAAACACCAGACTTGATTTCCATAGTTACAGCCTTCATTTGTAAGCGCTTTATGTGGCTAATTCAGAGCCAAAGGTAAAGAAAATTACACTCTGGTTCTTGCTTTAAGTTGTAAATTTTTAGCACTCTCTATTTTAGCTTTTATATCATGAGGTTTTTCAAAAAATCTCACAAAGGCTGGTTCATTTAATAAGGATGCCAGAATCTGTTCAAAGGCAAAMGACCATTCATGGTTCCCTCCCAAACTCTGTGCTCTACTGCCTTCAGTCTGCTCAGAGATCCTTTCCTCCTGCCTCTCTCTGGGGACTTCAGCAGCCACCTCTGAAACAGGAACTGCACTTTGGACAGGTGACATGGGACTCTGCAGTCTTCTGCCAACTTCTTCCATTTTCAGCAGGAGGCTGGTCACCACGGCGATAGCCCGATACAACAGTTCCTCCTCAGGATCCCCATGGAACAGATTGTAGAGAGTTTTTGAGAACTGGATGAACTGAGACTACAGAGAGATACAGAGGAGACTGTTGAGAGAAGAGCAGCACAAGTGTCCTGTTTCACTGCCTGCTGTGCTCAGTCCTGTGCYTGCTGCTGTCAGGTACATGGTGTAGCTGCTCTAATGACAGCATGGAGCAGCCCTGAGAAACCTAYGTGTGTCTCAAAGTCCCTCTCTTCATATGTTACAGCAGTTTGAAAAAGCCACAGTCTAATGATCGATAAGTGAGTATGTGAAATTTAAGGGATCCTACAAATCCTTTAGAAATACTGTAACAGAACTTAAAGGGTAAACTTTGAAGACAAAATAGACTTAAATAAGACTCAGACAGTTTACCTGATTCATTCTCGGCAAATCCTTGATGTTTTCTTCTTTTCTAAGAAGTTCATCTTGCCATTGCTTCAGATATGCTTGAATATCAACCTTTCCTTTCCCTTTTTGAAGGGGAAGAAGTGGGAAAAAAAAAAAAAGGTGAACAAACAAGAACTAAGAGCTTCCGACAACTGATGATAAGCAAAAGAACTGRCATTTTCAATGTCATTCCTCCTCAATAGAGTGGTGGGGCCAAGGACCACACAGGATCAGAGTTTACATAGCCCTCTTGCTCCCAAGACCACACCTATATAAGTGGATAGAATGTTAGCAGCACTCTGAGGATGATGTTACATAATCTGTCACCACACACTTTCCCAGCTCTACTCTCCCAAAAGACACAGTTACCAAATGTACCACCAGGATTCTTTTACCTTTTTCTGGGCTGCTCTTCAAAGAATCATTTTCAAGACCATCCCCAACAGACGAAACTACCRATCAGGAGAAGAAACAACAACAAAAAAGTTATTTCAGAAAAGAGGCCAAATCTGTCATTTCCTTTATCAGAAAATCCTTCCTTAAGGAGTAAGACCCTCAATGTTTTCAACACAGATTAGATCAAGAAAAAACCAAACTGTAAGATTCACAAACTGTCTATAAATATAGAAGCCACTAAGAGTCAGAAGATCACAAAAGAAACTGATATCAATTATATCAAATAATCTTTATAATGTTCACGGTCCATGACTTGAATAGCAGCAGGAACAGAACTTAGGGCAGATYTTAAAAACCAAAAAGGGATCTGTCTTCCCTATAAAAACCAAACAACTTTCCAGAATGTTTGAAACAGATCATGTTATCAACTCCATRAACTTACTAAACCTTTTTCAGCTCACTTGGTCTAAAATGAAAGCAAAGATTTTTGAAACTCTTACTTATGTGCTTCAAAGTATGGATTTGGTATTTTAACTGCTGAGGCAGAAAATACCATCCTGTTATGCCTGGGATGCAGAAGTGAAATGGCCATCACTTGAACACTGCAACAGGCTGCCTACAGCGCTGAAAAATGMCAACCAAATACACTCCCCTAATTCCATGTAAACACCCATGGCCTTTGAATTCAATCATCCACAGAAGATCTTCATAGATGTTTCTGTTAACAGGCATATGATTTATTTGATTTACTAGTTTCCAAAAGAAATCCTGCATTTTTCACCTTAAGGATAATTAACAGATTCCTTCTAGTATTCTGCAGGCTAAACCTCACATCTGGAGCTTACCACTGAGTTGGCTGAAGTGGATTAGTTCTTCTTTTGAAAGATCATCTCCTTTGGACGGGCTTWGAGATTTTACTTCAGTAAAAGCTGCAATAGATGATTGAATGAAGTGGGTTTGTGGCTCCCAGGCATTACCAAAGCAGTAATAAAGATGAAAAAAGACCAGAAACAGCTCTCCCTAAATGCCACTGCTGCTCACTTACCTGGGGGGATGTGCAGCTTAAAAAGAAGCTTGAGTTTGTCAGTGAAGCTTCCATTATACATGGTATCTGTCAGAGGAAAGGGGTAAGACAGTCTATTCAACTGGACCAAACTTTAAAGCACCCTCTTAACCTAAACCAATACAACCCAGGGAGGTTGGAACTGGAGATATGCCCTACCTTATAGGGAGTACAATGAGAGATGAAGCTTAAGGAAAGCACTATCACCTGTGGCTGAGCCTGGGGTTAGCCTTCACTCAGGAAAGAACACTAATAATGTCTACAACTTACTAAAATAAACCATAGCATTAGAGAAACGTAACACTAACATCTTCTCAGCATTTCCCTTAAATCTTTGTTTCCTGAACAATACCACTTTGAAAATAAGATAAAAGGAAAAAACAGTGAGCCAAGAAAATTTTCTGTTCCCCAGAGATATAAGGCATTGGTCATCTTGCACAATGACCAAGAAGATGTCTTAGTATGAAGATTAACATAAACCAAACAGGCTGGGCAATGAGATYGACCATTTCCTAATCTTCAGATATTCAGATGGCCAAGCCCTATTTAAATTTAATCTCCAAGAGGAGATTATTCTGTCTGTGGTAAAAATCACACTATTTGACCCTATATTAAGAGACTAAGTCTCCTTAGCTCTTTGTATAGTGTATGGAAGGTGATACCCGCCCCAGAACTAYTCCCAGGAGCTTTGTGCATGTGCTCATGTATGTGCTGTACCAAGAACRCAGGCAAATTGTTTGAAGTTGATAAGGCAGTCGGAGCTCTCATCCATCAGTCGGAATGTCCAGAGGGCCAGGGAGTCTCTGTTTGCACAGTGTGACCAGGGGCTCAAGAGATGGCAGAGAACCCTGAACTGCTGGCAGTCGATCCGGTACTGGTCAAGGTAGGGCAGACTGGCATCGTGATGCTGCAGCACAGGACTATTTACACTCCAGTAACAGGACAGAAAGTGCTCCTTCTGCAAAGCAAAGATAAAACATTAAGTTTTCTGAAACAATTCTCTCTGGGGGAAAGGTGTGAGGAGTTAACTATGTAATCAGATTTACAGCTGACATGTAAAACATACGTTGAGTCTAACTTTTATCTCTATTTCTTAAAACCATTTCAAAGTCYACTGTTAAGATGGCCTTTTAGTAAGTGAGGAAAATGGCACATTACCTTGAATAATTCATAAAGCTCTTCAAGATCACTAGGACTGAATCTYACTTCTTGAGACACAACTCGTAACTGAAACAAAATTAAGAAAAACTTAATTAATYAGTCTTCCCTCTTTGGAATAAAATTCTAGAAAATTATGGGTGAAAATAACATTACATTAAGAGACACTGATTGCACATTTCAGGTTTTGGCATGTTACAGTTAGAAGTAAGAATAGCACTTATTTTAAAAAGTAATCTGAAAATTATAGATAAAAATAATTTTTCAAAAAGAAGAGAAGCTTAAAGCTAGTCATGTTACTAACATACATRGAGCCTACATTATGAAACCCAAGAGACAAAACTCAATTATTGATAATGATATAACATATAGATTCCTTTAAATGGGCAAATGCATGTTCAGCTCAACAGTGAARCTGAATCCTCATATCCTCTAAACTAAAAAAAATTGTTCACAGCTTTTAAAACAAAAACTGGCCATAATACCAGCTTCCATCTTCACAATACGTATATTCTATAAAATGAAATACAAGGATATCATCTTAGCATAATCACTAGCATTTAGTTTCTGTTACTGCAAGCCACATTTACTACAGAAAGAAGCACTGGGTGGTGGACAGACTAGTTTTATCATCAGGTATTGGAAATGAGCCACTGAAGAAAAGGCAAACAAAGGAAGCACCTCACAAACTCCACCTTCATTCAGCATTCTGAACTGAAAGGATGAGATAGGCAGATGGAGAGCTGCCACATTACCAGGCATTCACACACATCACAGACAAAAAGCAGCCTCTGTTGAATGCACTACAATAACCTCTTCAGTGCTGCTTCCCAGAGTAAAAATGCAGGTGATTAATTGTTTTATTGTACGGTGCTCATGCCTCTAAGAGAAATGCATTAACACCAGCAAATAGAAATATAGGTCAGCCTGTTCCAATCCACACAAAGCAAGAGAGATATTCCAGCCTCTAGAAGTGGCTGGTGATGCTGTTACTTGTAATGAGACCAGAAGGTCATGCTGTGATTCACAGCCTGAAAACATCAGAGGCCAAGCCTCAGCTAACAGACACCCTGCAGACATGAGGGGGTTCAGCATATAAAATCATATATTTGGACCTGGAAACTGTAGCTCTTCTTAGAACCTTCCAAAAGGGAACAAATCTTATCAGAGAAAAGGCTTAAACTCTTCCAAGTCACTCACCACATTCTGCTTGGTCGTAGCCTCCAAGGTCTGGATCACATAAAGCCTGTTCCTGCAGCGCAAGCTCTCAACATCCTCATAGCGAATATCACCGTACCTCTAAGAAGAAAAGCACCATTCCATGCAATCAACGGTTGGGAGACACATCTAAACAGGTATTTCTGTCTGTCTTGCATCTAAGCACAGTACAGGCATGGACACAAAAGAAGATCACAGAAACTCTGGGGAAAAAAAAAAATTATTTGAGCACCAACATTCTGCCTAAACASTGTAACTTCTTAAAGGGTGTTTCATGGAGAAAGAAAAAACTAGAGTAATWCAATGTGAGTGAAGACAAAGGAAGGGATTTTACTGTGTATTGGCTCTATACTAAACTGCTATCACGTGACTACTACTGCAAGGCAGCAAAGTCTGAGATGTGCATGTTGTCAGGGATTGAAGTTCACTCTAGTGATATTAAGAAATTAGCCAAGTAATTTCTGAACCAYTCCTAGCTACCTCTCTATTTTCTGAAGGACAGGAAAAGTGTCTGAGCACTGGAGTAGAATAAATGCATTTACCTCTAAAGAAAAGTGGGATAGGATGCAAAAAGTAGAAACAAATTACCAGAGAAATCATGGAACAAATTATTAAACAATTAAAATCTAAATAGAAACCAGGAGATCAAAACGGGACAACATTCTTTATCAAGACCATGTCAAATKGTTTTAACTTCCCTCTATGAGGAAATTCAGTAGAACTGAAACAGCAGACAGGATTCAAGTTCTCCTCTGTAAGTTTTCTGACCCTTTTCAGCAGCACARGCAACCAGGAAGACGTGGCCTAACCATGACCACCATACACAATGGACAAAACTACTTCTAACAGCAAACTTTGAAAACAAATGAGGGAAAACCAACCAGACTGTCAGAAGCTTTTCCACAGTGAGTTTGTTCCCTTATCAGTAATGCCCTTTAAACAAGATATGAAATACTGTAACACATACAAGAGTATGAGCACATTAACTTTGATGAAAGGTTAAAGGAACTGGCTGTATTAAATCTAGAAAAAGAATAGATCTGGCAACTCACTTCTGGGAGAGYAATCTGTAGGACTCATTCTTCTCACTTAGAGTCATGATAAGGGTCTCAATTGAGGGGACTCAGCTGAGCAGCCTGATCTAGCTGTCCCTGTCAGTGCAGGGGGGTTGGATTAGATGGTCTTTAAAGGCCTTGCCAACCCAAACAATTCTACAACTGATTATTCTATGACCAGACCTGATGAACAACCATCGAATAGCAACAAGGAATTTAAGAGAAAACTACAACCAACTCTCCTCAATAGTGTTTTATGAGCTTCCAAGAGAAATTATACTGGATATTTTCCCACATGGGCAGAGAAACCCTATAATGGACTAAAGTTTTTGCAGATTTTCTTTCGTTGAACTGTCTTAGCARCCTAGACTTTTCAAAGGATGATCTGGGTGGATGCTGGACAGGAAGGTGAACTGAATGACCTGTGGAGTTTTCTTCCTGAACTATATTACTACGTTGTTGAGGAGACCACTAGCAGYAGCCTTCTGGCTTGAAACAAAGTGGAAGGAGAGAGAAATTGCAGATCTGAATCATAACTCATTTACAGGTCTGGCTTCTGAGCACTGSTATTGTGCAAAGGCCTTAGTACAAATAAAAATACAATGTAAAATGTAACTCTGAAATTAYGGGATGTGATAAAATGTTACACGGCCTTCCATTCTCTAGTTAAACATGATATGGTCGAATCTGATTAGACAGCCAAAGAACATCTTGCATTTGTGCCTGAGTCAAAGKATGATGTGCCACACATTCCCACCATCTTTCTGGCAGGGAAAACCCGGGTTCTTGGCTGGGGTGATTCACTAGGGGTAGGGTTAGGGTTAYACCAGGGTGAGGGTTGAGAGATCTAAAGGGCCCAGAGCTGCAGGAACACTGTGGCTGGAAAGGGCCTGCTGRGACAAACACGGCAAAGCCCAACCTCTCTGCTCCATCACCTTTCTGATCTGGAGCCCCCACAGGGGTGAGCACYTCRGCCCCAGCCACRAGCTGCCCTGTGCCTTAGGSTTAGGCTTCAGAGAGCTTCCAGCCTGCAGCTGCGGGGACACTGGCACATCATTTTAAAATTCAACTCCATACCTTTTCACTTAAACTTATTTATCTTGTGAACACCTGTAAAAAGCAACAATATCACAGAGAGTATCTCTGTTTACTTCTTCATAATCTGTAACCTATCTGCAGAATGACAATTCTCCATTGCAGCAATCTTCCCATTTCGAAATTTGGTTTATATTATTTCCACAGTGGTATGAAAATAAAACCCTTCACCAGACCACAACTGTGTTGAAATTAACTGTCTGGTCAAAACGGGAAGCAGGAAATTGACTCTTTCTTTGTATGAACAGTTCTCAAACATGAGACACTTGCCAGCACTGAAGAAACTCAGTTCCAACTGAAGACAGTAGCTTGCATACAAGAAAAGGGATGTGAGATAGAAATTACRATACGGGCCTAAGAAGGAGGGCTTTCAGCTTGGAAGTGGAAGAGTCAGATTCAAAAATCTGCCCAAAACAATATTCAAAAGCCATACCAAATCAGAGACTATTGCTTTGATGCAGTCTCCTGCAGAAGAAAGGGCGTTTATGTTTTTCAGTCATTATTCCATCTCTATGAAAGCTTCAACTTACACTACTGAATGTAACATACGGCACTTCGTTATTTACCATCTCTGGTCTCTATTCTGCTAGTATTCATCCTCACTCTGAACTCTCATTATTACAAGAAAGACTCTTTTTTTTTTTTTTCAATAATCTTAAAGCATTTTCCAAACAGGATTCTTCAGTATAACATTCTTGTAAAACAATACTACAGCAGAACAGACTTTTGTACGGTTAGCCCAGTGCTATTAAAACAGTTCAAGAGAAACTGAGTTCCTGATTCTTGTCATTGTTCACTCCATTAAAAGCAACACTCTCTTCTCAGAAAAAAAAAATCAAAGAAGACAGTTTCTAAATTACACAAATTACAGTTACTTAATCTTTTCTGAGTCAAGGCCAGGACATTTGTCAAAAGGGATGTACTGTGGATTTTTTACTAGAAACATATGACTGAAAATTAGGAAACAAAAGAAGTATCACACAGATAAAAGGAACCAGTTAACAGAAAAAGCGGAATGTGAACAGATCTTTTCTCTCAGCYTGCCTTTCACTTCAGATGGGTTAAGTAGAAACCTATCTACAACTAGATTAATGGTCTGATAAAAATCATGGCAAGGGAAAGAAAGTCTCATGAAAATCAGGGGACAAAAACGAGAAGTTAGATGTATTTCCTCCCCAAGGYAGAGCTCCAAAGCTTAATATTGCARAAAGTAAACTTGCAAGCTCAAAGAAARTGCTAAAAGAGCATAGCTGGTTTTCCTCATCTAACACATCTCTAGATGSCATTTAACCCATATCATGAACTACTCAAGTACACAAGTACACAGTTTCCCATATATTGTAATGTCAAAAGTTATCAGTATCTGCAATGTGCAGCAATCAAATTAGTATTACTAATCAATTAGTATCAAGGCTGTTTCTGCTGTATTTTGTCATTTAGTTAACATACTAATAATGTGAATGAGGGATGGTAATACATGACCTGTGATGAATCTAGGGAACTCAACTCAGGACAGACCAGAAAGCACATTCCAGGCAGTTAAAAACCCAAAACAACAGAAAAGCAAACCTATCCCATAACCTATAAGGCTTTCATTAAGGCTCAACAAAATAAAGAGCCAAATTTCTACCACACCAGACAAATTTTCTACCCTCGTTTGTATGATGCAACTGCACTATTTTAAAGCTACCCATGAAACACAAACACTGCATGGGATGCAAAAACATACCCACAAGAACACATACTTCATTTGACTCTCGGATCAGATCAGTGATGTCCACTTTTGGATGGTCACTCTTTGTATCRCTGAGGTTGGAGCCTTGCTGCACAGCTGGAGGCAAAGGACTGTCTTTGTTAGTGACACTGTCAAAAAATCTGCACAAAGCAAACACATGAGAAATCAGCAGGAACCRGTTTATCACAATAAAACAATAGCAYTGGCGTCTACTGAAGAAKAAGTGTGCAAGGAATGGGAAATAGCAAAGAGTATCAGTCAGCACAAATGTGCTATAATAGTAACAAARATACACAAACATGGGAACTGCCCAACCAGAGCAGGTTGTAAAGCTTCCAGCCTTGGGGGATTTTTAAGACTGAGCTTATGTGATCTAGTGCTAGCAGTAATCCCTTTTTGAGCGGGAAGTTAAACTAGACTCTTGCCAAGGGCCCTTTCACTTGGTATTCCCCTGATTTTCTAATCCATCTAGCAAGGTTTTACTAACTGGGACACAGAAAACACAGATCCAGTGGGGAGGCCAGATTTTACAATAAACACCGGAACGCATGGTCTCAAACGACAAAAATTATATTTTCCTGTATAATTCTGTAGCTCCTACCCCATTCAAACATGCAACATGTAAAAGCCTCACTAAGCAGAAATTCTTATTATCAATTAATAACTCATTAACTCCTATAACATAGTGAATCTGCTGTTTTAATACACCATGATACACAACCACAGCAKCAACAATGGCTGCTATTTATGTTGCTAACATAGCACAAACATCTGGTCATGACTGAACTCATCACATTTTTTTGGTCTTATTTCTACTTTAAGCCATTAACAGCAGAGGATTCAGCAGCCTAAACTACAAGAACTGAGCTGMAGGAAATGCTGCCTGTAAGTTGATGCCTGAACTGTTTGGAACCATCATAATGTGCTTTAGATTACCTCGTGATTAAGGAAAGCTGCCTTCTATATATGATATAAATTCCAGGTAAAAAACACATTGCTTTTTCTTTAAAATTCACAAAATGGTTATGATTTTAGAAGAACTTGAATGTTCTTGAATGTTGATGGGGTTTTCAGAGGATCCAGGCCCACTTTCCAGCACCTCTTCCAGAATTTCAGCCTGAGATGAACACCAATTCCCTTGAAGTCTTTGGAAGTCTTGGCCAGCTGTCCCTTCAGCTACCTCAGAATRACTTTCTATATGYAATTATAGGAGCTGCTATATAGCCTGAAAGAGTAACAGTTATASTGGTACCTGTTGAGAACAGTGACTGCTTCTGCATCATCCTTACAAGTGAGCAACTTGTCCATGTTGTATTCCAGCACAGCAAGGCCCAGCTGCAAGATTGCTTTTATTCCATCATAGAAGAAACAGTCCACCACATTGACTGCACTTTCAATTGGCAGCACACTGATAAAAAGGGTAAGGAACCAGGAGAGAGAGACCGAGGAGAAAAAAGTCATGTCCGTCATGTGGTCTGTCAACTGAGGCAGGTGAACCCTGATGAGCTCCTCAAACACTGCCTGATCTACCAAGGCACCTGCAGGGAAAGGATAACAAAACCACCACCCAGATCTTAATACAGAGAAGCACACTTTTCTCAGAGCACCAGCCAGAAACAAAATTCCTGTCCTAGGGCAGCTTTGTTGCGCACACAGGCCCAGCTGCATGGAACCATTGGCTCCTTCCCCCCTGCTGGAAGCTGTGCACTCCATGCATGGGGCCAGAGCCTTGGGCATGCTTGAAATGTGTTGGCACTTTGGTGAGTCCATGGCTGCTTCCAGTGACTCTCCTGACAGCCAATATACTCTACAACGAGAGGGAAACTTCACAACCCATTTTCTTCCAGCATATACCCTGTAAAAACTGCATATGAGATCAAAGTCTAAGTCTGGACCTGGAGTAACTCCTTTTCCTTTATCTAAACAGGACTACATTTCAAATAAAAAGTATGAATTGCAGTTATAATTCTGAAAGAACAGTGTAATAGTCTAACTGACTACTTTCCTGAGTATTCATGCCTAGAATACTGACAATAACCAGAAATCAYATCCATGCTTATTTAAGGAGGAGTCATAGGATGTTCTCTGTAACCTCCATTTTCTACTCCACAATATTGAACCAAATGCAATGGTTTCTCTCCACTGGACAGTCTTTAACTCATTCCTTACATTTGTTTTTAACGAACAACCATTGACACTCAATATAGACAGATATTCAATTCAAGACAGGTAACAAGGCAAATGGATGTTACCAATGATTCGGCGATTGAAATAATCAGGGAGCATCCTTTCACACACAGCAACCAAAAGCCAGAATGCTTCCTCCTCTTTAGCATACAGCAGGAGCACTGATGTCAGAATATTCATTGCCTGGAACATTTAAACATGAAAGGAAACATTTATGAGAAAAGATGGTGAAAATGCAACTGTTATTACTTCTTAGAATTTATATTTCTGAAAGCCTTTACAGCAGATTTTTAAAATGCTGGGATAACCTACAGCCTCTTATCCAAGATAAGAGTTTTACTTCTATTTCATTAAATACAGAACAGAGTATTTAAACTACATAAAAATGTTTTAAGTGCTATATGTCTAGTTACAATGCAAATGCACATATGAAGTGGACATGACAGCATTTATAAACCAATTCAAGTACAATGTAAAAACTCATTTTACACAGCAGGATGAAATAAGCAAAGTAAGTGAACCACTGAGCAAGAAACTATTCCACATTTCTGTGACAGATTTTATGAGGTGCTACCACACTGCCATCATGAGCTAATATTTGGACAACCAACACTAAGACKCTCAAAACTGCTGTACCTGACAATATCCAATTTGTGGATTCCTGTATGCATAAGCTGTAAGGACTCTCCTGAGTGCAGAAATTCCTGTGTCACTTTGAAAAGCAGGATGCTCAGGTAAGGAGCGACGTAAATCTCGTTCAATTTCATCAGTAGCCAAAGTGCATGTTCCTAAGGACTTTTCCACCAATTCAGTGTAATAACCAGGGTTGGATGCCATATCATTTATAGCACCTGCCAATACATTGCATTGCATGGTATTAGAGGACAACAGTAAAGCAGTTATTTCATTGTTTGCAGTTTGTATAAAAATTTTGGTGACTACTGAGGCACCTTATGAATCTCCAGATATTCCTGAAGTATTGTGTCAGAGTAACTCTACTGAAATTAATGGAATTACTCAGCAATGAAAATTGCCAATGATGATCTCAAAATTAATCCATTATACTTGCGATGCAATACCTGAGAAGAGCAGCCAGAGTTCTCCTCTTAATGCCTCTGGRATGCCTCTTACAACTAAGTCTCGAGTCTTCTTTGTCCGAAACATACTGACCCCATGGCCCCTTTCCGCAAACAAGATGTTCCATGACTGTTCCTTCATTTTTTCTTTCAACTATGAAATRCAGACAATAACAAGCATTAAGTATMCTGGTTGATTCTCCYCAGGTTTCAGTGAACAAAGTAAATTTTGCTCCCAGTTATATTCATATAAACTGGAAATTGCAGCGTTGGCATCTGTACTGATGTGCGAAATGAATGCTGAAGCAAATCAGAGCAAAATCCAGCCTAYGCAGAACAAAAATTTAGCATAAAATGCCATCTCATACATGACCTACTATTCTTTAGAGTATGTTTATACCAGATGACACAGAAAGTAGGTCTAATCCAGTATCCCATCTGACAAAAACCAACAAGTGCCACAGCATAGTAAGGTCAGACATCGCTCTGAAGCAAAGCAATGGTTGATTGGGTGCTCCAGCTCATGTGAGCCTCCAAGGCTGAGACAGGTGAATGTCTGTGCATGCAGCATTAAGATTTAATACTACTAAAGAAATTAAAGGTGTTGAAAGGAAAAGTAGATTTTGTTCACTTTTGTTCAACACATGGTAAAAACCAGAATTTAAAAATCTGGASTCCCTTTTGACCTGACCAAAGGGTRTTTGTTTTYTGAGATTTCTGATATAAAAATTTCATATCTTAATTTACCCATTTCCACTACAACATTTATTTTGAAACAAAACCTGTCTTCTTGCACACACTATGGAGAAGCAAAAATTGGATGTACTGTTGAAAAAGCAACTACATAAACATTCTCCAGAGCATAACTTCATTAGACAGTGGTGCAAAAGAATCAAATTTCCTTCAAAGGAAGAAATTAAGTCAATTTCTATTAACATTCTCCTTGCTCCCGAAGAGTTTGTAGTGACTTTGTATCTTGAAAATTCAGATATAAATGCAACATGTTCACTATCATAAAACAAACAGCCAACTCTTCCCTGAGGGGTGGAAGAGMAGGAGAAATTAACTCCATGAAGATAAGGCATATCATTATTAGACAAGATGAGCAGAAAATTGAATGGAGCCATGAAAAAGCACCCTGTGGACTCCAAACACAGAAAATGCAGATGAAAGAAAACTGGCAAAGCCCCAGAGGAAATCAGCAGCCTGGCTGGAATTCATTTTGATATATTTCAGTCCTTTGCAATTCGATTCCAAAAACTGTTGGACATTTTATCCCTTACCATTTTAGAGTCAAGGTTCTCAGCATCCTGAGGATGGTAGACAGTCATTAGTGCTTCTGTACTGACAGTTTTGCTGTTATCTCTCTGGCCCATCTTTGACTGTCCTGCACCAAAATCCTTTGGACTGTCAGTGGCAGAACCAGCTGCAACCTTTAAAAAATTCAACAGTAGTTCTCATAAATAACAAACAATCCTCCATGAAGAAGCACTGATACCAGACCACCACTGTTAATTAGATTAAGTTTACAGGTACCAGRTACAGACTTCTAAAATAAATGAAAAACAGCAGTCCCTGCTCTGCACAGCTGGGCTCTCAGGAGGCTGCACTTGAAAAATAAACCAGCCCCTTCTTGAGCAAAAAAACAAATTATGAAAGGACAAATATTCATAATGAGAACTGAGAAATATGAGGCTAGAGAGGCCTGAYCATCCATCACCACCAAAAAACCCCATTCATATAGCRAACTATAGAGAAAACCTCAGAGCACTTAAAAAMCATCTGGAGCTGGAGCTGTTTTTCAAAACCTGATGAAAAACAAGGTAAAAGAACACAAACCAGAATGCATTCATAGTAGCACCATTGTTTAATCAATCTCTTTTACACAGGCGCCGTTATTTATTTTTCCAAACCTTAAAACCAGAGGTACATGATTTATTCCTGTGAACAAATTCTAAGGAATTAGAATTGCCAGAGTAGTTACCTCAGTATTTATGATGTGCTGTGGACTTGCAGTTGCATTGCATTTCATTCTGAGCTTTGCCACAAGATGCTCAAAATCTCTCACCTCCGTGAAACGAAAAGCTGTTTTTCCTTTGGTACTAATGCTGACTCCTCTGTTGGCTGGATCTGCCTTATCCACCCCTGTGACCTACGGAACCAAGGACAAATAAATTAAGAAAGAAATTTTACCTGCTTACTTATAAAAAAGGAAACCTGTTCAGAATACATGTGTAAATGAAACAGTGTATGAAGCACCACACAAGCAGACTTGGCAACACAAGTTACAGGTTGAAATCTCTGTTGCCTGTAGCTRTTTTAGCAAAAGGCATTCAGTGTTATGCAACAGATTTCTGACAGAGTACCAGAAATCTTTGAAAAGGTTTTACCAGCTCTGAGTGCTCAGTTTGTTTGAAAACCTTGTCTCTTTCCACCTGCTGAGGCTGTTGCTTTTTTTCCTTACCATCCAAAAGCAGAGAAAACATGACTTTAGTAAGTAATCAAATGAAGTAAGTTTTACAAGACTGAAATTCCACTGAGAATKCCCTGTCAAAACAGCTGTCATAACACATGACAGCTGGAGCTGACTTTAATTGCCCTGATGGAACAGTTACAGATTAGAACAGTTAATACACTTTAATCATGCAAGTACAAGTGTGACARTCATGAGGATCTAGACTGACTGGCATTGCTGATGCATTCATGTTGTTAAAGAATGAAAAACCACTGAGCACAGTGTTAAAGGTAAAGGAAAGACCACTGAAATGAGGTAACTGCAGTACTGCAGAACAAATAGGGAGCATTCAACATCAATAAGAATAAACATATTTATTTAACACAACCTTTTATGTTATGAAAGTCTCTATTGCTCACAGTACTATTTATAGATAATCAAAGAAATTGTTTTATCTAGGTGGGGAATACCAAGTGTATTGCTGAAATTAGTACAGCTCACCCCCTGTGTCAGATGTCTTAGGCAGTGTGTACACAGAGCATGTAAAGAAATTAYAGAAGCTGGTTAATTTGTAGGCTATTGTAACATGTGTCTAGATGCTGATGAAAAGCTTTTAACACTGGAAGACTGAAATGTGGCAATGTCCCAGATCAYGTGAATTCAAGACAGCAATGGAGAGGGTTGGCTGCTTTTTCCCACAAGTTATTCTGCAGTCTACTATAGTACTCTATTGAAATTCCAATGCTGTGTCCTTTGCTATATGGTTCTTATTCAATCTGTTGAGATTATCAGCTGTAAAGGCATTGCTACTTGCCCATGTGACAACTGGATTCTCCAAAAAACTTTTGAACAGAGAGTACTGCTCAACTGCTGCAAAAAACTGCATTGCTGAGCTAAGAAACACAGCAGAGTGATTACTAATCTCCAAAATACTTTATCCTCTACAATTCCTTACATCTTATCTTGAGAATGTCTCATTAACTCACCTTCAAGTACTAAGCGAAAGATTTTCATTTACTACTAAAAAAAGTATTACAAAAATTGGATTCTGTACTGAGCTACAGAAAAAAACGGTAAATAGAAAAGGGAAAGATAGAGAAACAAATCTGAAACATGAAAGCATTTCTAGAAACCTACAAAACAAATTCCTACATGCAGTATCCAGGGTAGGGGGAAATACATGAAATTACAMATAGTAAGGAGATACTAATGAAAATCTGCTAAACTGACATTGAACTATGCAAGTGCAAAGCTGCTGGTATAACTGACTCTGACTTGTAGTTTGTATTACCTCTCTCAATGGAATGATCACACTGCACAGGCTGCCATCCTGGCTAGCAAAGCAGATGTAGTTTTCTGAAATGCACATTTTCCCATGGGTATTGTAATGACTGAAAGGAACCCATAAGAAGCATTCGTGAACTTCCTTCAAGGTCTCTTCTTTAGGCAGCCTGAAGAATGCACTGAACTGTTCACTGTGGGCACGGTTCTCCAGGCCTCTGGATTAAAAACAAAACAAAGTGGTAGGAAAAAGAAAAGAATAATTAAATTAATTTTAAATGTCTTTACAGATACAGAAGTCAAAAATATCTTGGGAAAAGACAGTAAAACATCAYGCTCTCCGACAACCTGTGATGTCAGTCTGGAGGGTTCAATGTTTTTCTTGAAGAGGCACCAAAGGGCAGGACCACATCTACCTGTACATCCACTTRAAAAGATTTAAATATGTCACTAACAAGACCAGATTCAATATTGTTTTTACATAGTAGAGCACTACAGGGCCTACAAATAGTGTGGAAAGGATATTAATAGTACAATGTGCTCTGTTTCCCCACACATCAGAATAATCCATTCAAAACTAAAACAAGTTTTGGCTTGATAGAGGGTTAATTAGTTAGMAATGTAGCACATGCTGTAAACATCTGCCATGAGCTAATTTGKCACAGTTAACTGCAGCCAGAAACAATGTTTTGGTTGTAGAGCAGTGTCCCTCTCCTGCATTGCTACCMAACTTAGGGATCRAAGGAAAAGGAAGGACTGTAACCTYTAAGTTACTCATATYCAYGTCTTTCCCACCACCCTAAATAATGTTGTACCTCAGGAAAGCCATGCACCCATCWGCAACTCATTGGTTTTATCACTCACCTCCAGGGGCTTTTAGAAAAGCCAGGCAGTTATCAATTACACATTTATTAAATTGTTTCTTCCCCACCTTACGCTTCCTCATAAGTCATCTCTGGAGATGCTGTAGCTCTAACCTGAATTTTYTAATCCTAACTGTTGCAAGAAAATMTTTTCAAARTTCAAACRATTATAAACCTTTTAGTTGGAAAACCAGCTCTRAAGATTTGATCACCTCCTGCCCTCATACAATCTTTGGATCCTGCTAAGCAAAAGCAAATTAAAATGCCTCACATGGAACTCGGTTCAACATTTCAATGAGACACTTGGTTAAGACAACACCAATGTTGCTGATATTTACAAATCTCCTTGAGACAAGGATTCTCTTCCTCTTTGCCTAAACAAATACTGGACCCAGAACAGATAAACTAAATAATACATTACCTCTTGGTGATCTGCAGAGGGTCATGAAGGACTGGATCATTCTCAAATGTCTCYTTGTCAAAAAGTCTTCTAACTGCATAGTTTGCCAGCTGCTCCATGAGAAGGAATGTTTCACTAATGTGCAAAAACATGGAAAAATAATGATCTTCCCCATGGGAGCACACATGAATGCTCTCTGTCAGAATCACATTGGACGTTTTCTCAAGTTTCGATATTTCATCCCAGGAGATAATAAGTTTTACTGAAAATAAAAACATAAGGACATGTGAGTCACTGCTCAGTATCTGCTTGTATTAAAAAAAAAAGTGGTAATATCAGCACTAATAAAATATAATTAAGCAAYGTAGTCAAATGATAACTCACTCGGAAAGGACTACAAATTAATAARCACAAAACTCATTCTCTTCACATCTCCTAAAAAATAATTCCATTAGAAAGAATTTTATAGAAAAACATTAAAACACACACCATGTATGACAACACAAGTTTACATCACTTTTTCCCTGCTCTTATGTGAAACTGCAAACAGCAAACAAATATTATATAAGCCAACCCTGCTTCAWCTGCTCTCCAATAGGGTTTCTTAAATGAAATCCATCATGTATTGGGATGCAAACTATGCCCATTAGCTATGGCATTTCTCAAAAGAGATCAAAATCAGCTTTGAAAGGATTCTACTTTCTTCATGATTTCCAGTTTTCACAAAAATACAGYTACAGTACACACTATTAGAGGCATTTGGGCATTTCAAACCAATGTTACACAGGGAAAAAAAAATATGTGCAATTATCACCAGTGTGTAGTGCACCCATGTGAAATACAAAGCCCRTGTGTGAAGAAATAACTGCAATCCTCGCAGACTGAGTTAATAATGCAGCATGAACTAAAGACAATGAACAACTTTTGGTCAATTTCTGGAAGTCTGCCTTCTCTCTAAAGCTTGAATGAAGGAAGCAAAGTAACAGATATTGTGTAGCAAGTCACACAAATGTATTAATTTCTGTAATTATTTAATGTTGGCAGTTTTTGYTCATCTCTGTTGACACCTGCTCACMTGGCAAAACAGCTCCCTTAGMACATAARAAGAATTCATCCTAACCTGAAAGATAAGCAGTAAAGCATGAAGAGACTCAGCTTAGCATCAAGGCTTACTTACTTTCWGCTCCAAGCAAAAATGAGTAGAAGCTAAGGAAGTTGGTACTAAGATAGAGCCATCCCTGACAGGGCACTCTGCCCTTCCAGTAACTGCACGAGTAGTAGGTAATCAACTTCTCCTGCTCTGGTAATCCAAAACACTTCTCAAACTTCATAAGACCTTCACGAAATTTCTCAGGATCATCTTCTTTTACAAAAGAACCTTTTCCCTCTTCAGCAATCAAACCCTGCAACAAAAAAAAATCACATTACTTTATGTATGTGTCTATGTGGGTGATTGTCATGTGAACCTGCATGCTCACAGAACGGTGTTCACCCAAGAGTAGGGTAAGTTTTAGAAGGGGAAGAACACTCTGAGAAACAAATCATAGGTCACAAACAAAATGTGCTATTTCAGACTTATCCACCAAGTCTCCCATGCAGCTTAGGCAAGACACACATTCCCATGTCTCCTCTTCTGAAACAGACATATTTTCCTCACTTAATCAGAAGAATTCCTGGGCTAAATATATATATATATATATATATATATATATATATATTCACTCATATATAGAGTGAAAAAAAAAATAGACCATATGCTTCCCAGGCACTGTTAAAATCACTGTGATATCATTTATCTACAGTTTTAGACCACAGTCTAAAGGCATTTGATGCATCATTTACCAAGAGGAGTTTATGTCAAACAATCTTACTTAGTTGTGGGGCAGGGAAACAGGAACAATAGCACATGTTAAAGTGAACAGTCACATACCACTCAATCAGAACAGACAGCATTATAATGCTACCCTATATTTTACAGAGGACATATTCATGTACAGCTAGAGGAAAAAAAAAAAAACTACTTAGCCTTTCCCAATTATGTCATGTGCCTATTACTTACTCTTATCTTTCCCTGGACAAAGCTCGTAATGTCATCATTTGAATCAAATACTGATAAAGTCTTCATAACATTGTGTTCTAACCACTCCCAGTGTTCTGTTATTTCTTCTCTGCTGGATCCTGATTGGAAAACAAAATATTACTTTAAATTAGGACAGACTTTARTCATTTCACTGAAAGTATTAATCAAGAGAATATTTAGCAAATTCCCAATCTGCAGAGTAATTTAGATACACAACTCAAAAATCCCAAGTYTCAAATTTGTTACCTCTTGTGAATATGGAAAATGTACTTAATGTACATTATACAYGTGCACTGCTGTGTTTTTATCTTTCAAACCCTTTATGCAGCTGTTTCTGGCCTTTAAATCTGGAAGCATCTCAGCTTTGTCAACATTATGTGGCTCAGTGCTGAAGCCTGACTTGGACTGACATTTCCATCCTCTCAGCAGCACCACCCCAATATGGACAGCACAGCATCACTGCAACACTCCCAGTCTAATGGTCCAGAACGTGGCAAATGTGAGAMCAAACCCATGAGGCTCAGCAGGAAATTAAATCTGTGCCTTTGATATCCTCAGCTGTGATCACTGGCTGATAACAGTTTCCAGAGCAGAACTTCAAGAATGGAACTGCTGTGCAAAATCCCTCCTGACATGTGTGAGGATGTCAAGCAGACATCCAGGGAGGCAGCAAGGATTGATATGGAACCAGTGAAATGGCAGGGTTTCAGCAGATTAAATACAAAGTCAGTGCTTTAAAGACAGGTGACTCCCCAGCAGATGCTGGGGGACAGGGAGAGGGAAAAAGAGAGAAAAAAACTTATATAGATTTGAATAAAAGCACATCCTCCACAAGAATGCTCACCAATCAAAGCACGCAGTGTGATCAYGTACCATCAATACCCTCAAGCAAGAGCACACCTTTAACAATTGCTTTTTTCTCAGCTTACTTTGCAAAGGGTAATTAACCAACTTTCAATGGACTCCACAGAATTAATTAAACATGGTCCTGTGAATGAATAGAAATTGCTCTAAATGCAGTTAAACAGTCAGACTGCATTACACTGGGTGGATTTGCAACCACACTTAAAAAATTATATGAAAAGTAATTAACAAAGCAATTACATTGCAAAAGTAATTCCTATTCTCCAGCTACACATGTACCAATTATTTGAGTCACAATATGAATCAGAGGCACAAAGGTGACCCAGGAAYGATGAAACTTTTTAGTAACTGTTTAAATTGTTTTCGAGCACTATTTCACACCCTTAATATGTAACTGCAGAACAAAGTGTCACCTCTTCAATTTCTTCATGGAAGAAACAATCTAACACAAAAGACAATTATATAATGTAGCTTTCTGTTGTAAAGTATATTTATGCAGCACATTAATTKATATAAATTTAAATTGATAAAGATTTAGTCCTAAAATGAAGATAACCATTTGTATTATCCCAAGGACTGACCTGATGGCAGTAGAATTCCCCACAGTATACTTCCAAYACACTTATCAGAGTACCTTTTTGATAGCCTGTCACCGGGTCTGACTTGAGAAGTGGTTCTGAAATGTTATTTACTGTCAATTCACAAACTGTTCAAATTCTATCCACTTTATAAGGCTGTCCTTTTAAAGTGACTTGCAATTACATTARATTAAAGCTACAAGAACAAATCTGTATTTACTTTTCCATTCCCTATTGATTCATAGCGTAACACGAGAAGGAGATGAACTTACACTACTAGAGCAGATATGAGGAAAAATTCAGCTCTGACCATGACTGAGAACCTGCATGTTTTAACATGCAAAGACAAAGTAGGCAAAAATATTAGGACAAGCATCTCCCATTACTCCTACCTACAGCACACTTGGGAACAAGTTGACCCTGAGGAGTCCATCCTGAACTGTGTCAAGTTATCCTTGCAGCTTACAGAAGAAAAGATTGTGCCTCTGTCACTGTAAGAGCACCCAAAGGCTTTGGCACCTGATGGACTCCCGCAGAAAGCAGGCCATGAGAAAGTGTAACAGGAAGAGTTCATAGATCTGTTCTGAAAAACTGGAACCACACACCGCTGACAAGRCTTGCAAATGTTTTTAAACCATTTAGAGGTCACGAGAATGAAAAATTATGTGAGAGGATTAACCCCAAAACRGATCCCATACTTTGCACCCTCCTTTTCCACTTTCTGGACTCGGCTGGCTCCCGGAGCACAGTACATACCGCACGCGATGGACCAGTAGACTTGGGAGTCTGGGGTCTGATGCAGGATGCGAAATGGGGCGACTTTCGACGTCGAGTCCAACACAGCATCTAATGTTCCCACAAGGAGACCTATAGTGTTCAACAAAATGTACACAGGACAGTGAAACTCAAGTTTTGGAATGCACACTYCTCTCTGATTTGTTTCTTGGGAAACAGGAATGCTGCCCAAGTAAGGACTACTGAACTCTGAGAAAATAAGTACACAATCGAGTAGAGCACAAAGTATTTGCAGAGGAACTTCTTTGAGAGGTGATAATATTTTGATACAGTAAAAGCCATGAGGCACAAACAAGGGTGAAGAAGTTTTTTGGGATGACCGCTGTGGAAGTGACAGCCATGCAGTATGGGAAACCAGAGCACAACYAGAAACAACAGGGCAGTCCCAGCCYTCAATGAGCACAAACCATAATTGAACTACCTCTTAATTAGTCATTTACTGTTGTTCTGTTTTCCAGTCACAGGAAAGAGCCCTTAAAGACCATAATTGGCTATGTCACCTCCTTGCTACTAAGTATTGAATTTGCTCCCATTAAACAGAGTTCATCTGAAAATACACTAATTTCACTAAAGAGACAAACTTCACCTCTCTAAAACTGGGACGAAAACATCTTCTGGGAAAATGAGTATGCATTTTATAATGACTAGCAAAATCATTCTCTGACACTGCGCAGTAATAAAGATATTAGCCCATAGACCTTAACAGCTYCTTTAAAATCTAAGGATCAGGAAATTCTAAAAGAAGAAAAATCAATACTGAAGAAACAATACAAACATTTGGTTCTTGATGCACCATAAAACCTTTTCTTGATTCAACAGAAACAAAAATACAATTAACAGGATCGTATGCCTCTTTCCTGTATTTATCATATTATGAAAAACCACAAAAAAAAACCCAAAACCAGTAACCAGGGAAAAAAAAAAAACCACACCAGTACATTCCATCAGACAAAAATATTCTCTAATCTTGTCTGAAATTAACAGATTGTAAATTGCTGTTGGAAAGTAGAATTATTTTGTAGTTCCTTACTGAAGACAGACATTGAATAAGTAACAACATTTATGTCTGCTTAACCAGCTTTTGCTTACTGAATGAGTCATGACACTGAGCTGATCTCAAAGCTGGCTTTGCTTCAGCAAATGTTGCATTATTTCATTCACAATTCTCCTAATAACATTTTCTGTTATACTATATAGTATAAGGATATTATTCAGCATTTATAAGGCTAATGGAACTCAGCTTGAGCCAATGGTTGCCACAGTGCACTAGAAAGCAGCACTCCTCAAAATGCCATGACAGCTCCTGTCKCCTTGGAAGGTCATCAGATTTTAGACAAATTAACAGTACCAGGTGAGTATCCGTCACTTCAGCATTCCCACAAGCAATGAATGGGATCTAGACTACAGGATAGAGCTTCATTTTATAACAGCAACTACTTTTACAGAGCATTTTAGTTCAATTTTTAAAAAATGGACTGAAACCCCAGACAAAATAAACCATGAAAAGACATCATCTCTGTGCATTTAATTTAAAATATAGGAATACCAGCTTGTGAATGATACTCCTTTTCCAACATCCTCAAATTAAGGACAGAMCTGTTTTTTGGCTTAATTTTATTCCATAAGTAAATTTGATCTCATGACTAAGAAACTTCAGCTTAAGGAAATACTGAGCATGGGCTGAGATGGAAATGTTCTAGGACTATTGAGATGTAAAACACRTCAGTTTAAGCCTTCAGTGCCAAAAAACTTAATCTCCATTACAAYAACTCCAGTGCATTATGGTCAGTGGTTATGATGCCAGTAAGACAACAGTAACTCATTAAACTAAGGTGTGTGTTCAAGCCTTTTTGTGGTAATCTGCTTTGCCTCTATGCAGCAAGAAACATATCCTTGGAAATAGGAAAAATTGGAAGTACAACCCTGAAAAAAAGGGAGTATTGGTCGACTTCGTAAGAACAGATAAAAGAATTGCAATTATTGCAGTTCCACTTTGCTATTGTTTTTAAAAAGCTGTCAGACAGGAACTGGGAAACACATGTTGGTCATTTTTTCCACCTGTCAGCCCTAAATGTAAACATGCATCTTAACAGAGAGGTGTTATTTGTCTAACCAATATAGGCACTGTAAAATATTCTTTGCTACACTGGGAAAAAAAAAAAAATTTAGCCAACACAATTTCAGATCTTCATTACCCAACAACTTTCCCATCTGATTCCTATCAYTCCCAGCAAGGATGCCCCACTGAAAGTTCTGTGTGTTAAAACACCTGCAGGGATAAATAATTTCTGCCAGTTATTCTATTGTATACTTAATGATGCCATAGGCCAGACCAGGAAGGTTGGAAAAGTAAGCATCTTCATGCTGCAAACTGGGTCAAGCTAGATCCCAAGGTTCCTCTCCCATCCTGCAGCTCCCACCAAAACAAATTCCTTTACATTTGTGTAAAGATCACCAAGTACTTTTTTAACTCGTCCACCACGAAATTTTGTTAGAGACAAGGTCCKTGCCATTGATATCCACAACTAACACTTCTGTCAGAGAAGGAAAATCTCCCCAGAGCCCACATCCCACCCAGCTCTGTCTCCCCTTCTCCCAGCCCTCTGTGCATGCAAGCCAGCCAGCAATGGCCCAGCCAACAAGTCACAGCTTTCAAACAGTGGGAATATCAGCAGGGGTCTTTGACAGATTCRGGATGGCAACAACTGCCACAGAAGATCCAGGATCTGGGAGAGTGATGGATTTTCCCTACCTTTTCAAGTACAGCACATACAACAAGCAGGGAAGACTAGTACCAACTAGTACTTATTTCACTGATAAGTTTTTCTCCTCTTACAGTTGAATTTTACTTATCTTTCTCAGACAGAGAGGCAAGTTGAAACAGTACAATAAGAAAATAAACCATTTGTTCAAATTTCAGTGAAAGATTGGAATTTTATGACACCAAATATTCACTTGCATCACCACCCCCAGCATACCCATGTCCTTATCAAGGTCCTGCCTAAACCAGAAGGAAAGCAAGAGCTCTGTGAACAGCATGCATAATGTCACTAGACTCTGGTTACAGCACATGCATTTACAACTGTATCTTATCCATACACTCTGAAAAATCGAAGGAGCTCTCCCAGAGTGGCTCTGCAGAAGACGGAACAACCAGAGAACATGGTCACATGTTGCACTGTCAGACAATACCCTTTGGGACAGCCCATTGTATTATGAATAATCCCATGCMACACCAGTCAGACAGGTTGCAGCATCTGTGTCCTTAGGGGAGCYCTAAAACAAAGAGAATGAAACATAAAGCTAAGCAGGTGTCCATCTGCAGGGAGGGAGCTGAGGCTGAGCACAACCGGCACAAAGTGTTTCTGTACCTGTTTACAAGTTATCCACAAGCAAACTCAGAACTGTGGGAGGGAGGTGTGCACACAAGGCATAAGAGCTCCCTGTGTTACCTACASATCACAAACAGGTCCTGCCCCTGGCCATCCAGAGGGGTCATACAAACAAATCCAAACTGCAGACTTCAATCTGTTCCCAGGACAGCACCAGAATTCCCAGCCATCTTTCAGGTAAGTACCTTTGTTGTCATCTATCTTTCRCTCCTTTGTCTATACCTTTCTCCAGGTACTGGCTGTTTCCTCAAAACTCCCCTCCTTAAAGCCGTCTTACCAAGTGTACTCCTGTACTTTTGGGAACCTTTTGTCAGGTCCCCATTACTACTATTCAAACCCTGTAGCACTGCTCATCTTTCTCCCCACTCCTGTCTTGAGGCATTACCCCCCTGTTCCCCCATGACTCGGTCTTGCCCTACTGCCTCCCTCTTTCACTCCTAACTCCCCCGTTCCTCTGCTGTCAGTCACCTCTGGCCTTGTCTCACCAGCTGTAAAATGCTCTTCAGGAGAACAGGATTGTACTGGTACATTTGGGATGATTTCATAACACAACAGCTGTGCTTTTCCTTTCCTAAAGGAAGTGCTAATTTTCTCGGGTGACACACAGCAATATCAAATTAAACCCAGGCAKAGCAAATCATGCTGGCTTATACCTAGGAGGTTTGAATATTTCCAAATCTGCAAACACAAATGTAATTGCATTTTTTATGTAACTGTCTTGTTAATCTTTCTTAATCACAATTTTAATTCAAGAACACCTCACTCCTTTTCCTTCAGTCCAGTGACAAATGTAACTTGCACAGAAGAATCTGGAATTTATAAGAAAAGTTACAGAAATGAAATGTGCAAAACCAGATTTTAAAAAAAAAGCACATTACAGCAACTATCCCATCCAAGTGTTTTTCCCACACTGTCAACAGCCACCACGGAGAGGAGAACAGTGACAGAAGCCTCACCTTCACCAAAACCCAAAGGGCACTTGGAAAGCTCAGCTGTCTGCTCAGCTGTGAGGCTAYGAGGAGATTTTCAGAAGAACAACTTATTCCAGTTCTCATTGTTCCACTTTAATCACAGTCCTTAAATGAATTTTATCACACAGAAAGACAACCTTCACACCAACTCGGTTTCCTTGGCTTCCAAATATATCAAGGCAGAGAACAGGCCATCAAGCCTGATCCCCACAAGACATCGAAGCTTGCAATATATCACCCTTGGTTCTAWGCCAGAGCCTGACCTTATCCATCTGCTTATAATACTATAATTCACACAGTAACCTGGGATTTTGGGACGCTTTCTTTTACACCTTCCATATGCCCTGTTAGTGGTTTATTCAGATGCCAAGGAAGAATGCCCTACCTCCAGCTGCAAGGGCCATTTCTGAGATTCACCAGCCAGAAGTCTGGACCAGCAGTTTTGTTCAGAAAAATTAATAAATGTTTCCAAAAGACAATTATGCCTCATAGCTTGCTTTAGGAACACACAAATTAGAGACAGCCTAGAAAACCTACAGAGATGCAAAACACTCGARAACTACATCCCACTGAGGAATGACTTTGTGCTAATTCCCTGGAGCATTTCTCCTTGACAGGGTCAATGACAGACACCAGGAGCCTATAAAGGAGTCAGTTTTAGTCAGAATAGCTGCCACCATCACAGAGGTCTCAGCAGTAGCTGGGGCCCCTGCAGTCCCTGATGATACAARCAGGCAAGAATTACAAATAGAAACTCAGCTCCATAGCTTGAAGTTCTCAAGGAATAAAGTTTATTATGCCACGGTTAATTTCCTGCCCTACCCCTCTGTCACTTTCYTGACCCACCACTCCTGACAAGCTCCATCAAATCATACGCTTGCTTTTAAAATAAGCGATCAGAAATGCCTGAGCAGGAGCTCATCTTAAGCAGCCCCAGGTGTACGCCGGAAAAGGGACTTGCAAATGAGCATTTTTGCCAAGGCAAGACAGATCAGTCCTTCTTCAGACGTGTCCACTTGCACCAAGCTGCCCTGGAGCTGTGCCGGGCTCCGCTGGAGCTCGGCCGTGCCGAGGCTGAGCCGCGCTGCCTCAGCGCCCCGCTGCCGGGGGATCCAGGGCTCCAGCCGCCCCCAGCTCTGCCGGTGCCCGTCCCCGCCGAGCTCTGCCGCCCCGGGATAAGCGGGGGGTTTGAATATTTCAACAATACAAACGGGGGAAAGGAAGGRGAGAAGAGCCCCGTGAGAAACCCACGAAGGTCCGGGGCTCCAGAAYTCGAGCAGGCCCCCTTGCTGCCCCTCTGGCCGGGGGTCCCGGGGCCGACAGACCCCCGTCCTCCCGCTCCAGCCCTGCCCCGGCCCCACGGGGGCAGTACCTGCCAGCCCGCCTCCGCCCTCCTCGCCATAGCCCCGCCGCCTCTGCAACACGAAGTACTGGTTGGAGCGCTCCTGCACCCACAGCTTGAGGGCATTTTTCAGCAGCACCTCCTCGGGCTTCAGCCACATCGCGCGGCCCCTGACGGCGCTGCGCTGCCGCCTCCGGCCCCGCTCCGCGCTCGCGGCTGCGGTGCCAGGCAGGAGAGGGCGGGGGGAGCGCCCCTTTCCCAGGGCATGCTGGGTGATGTAGTCCTTGCCCACGACGGGCCGCGCTGCGCTGCTGCCGTAGGACTACAACTCCCGTCGAACCCTGCGCGCCACTGCCTCAGGACTACAGCTCCCGTCGGGCCCTGCGCGCCCCGGGCCACGTGGCGGCACTGGCGGGGCGGGGCCCGCAGCCCCCGGGGCCTGTGCCGGTGCGGGGTCC